GAGAGAAAGGGAGAGATAGAGAGAGGGGGGAGACAGATAGTGTGAGTTTAATAGAGGCGGAACAATATATGCATATATATATATAGAGAGAGAGAGAGAGAAAGAGGGTGGGAAAGGGAGATAAAAATTGAGTAGGACTTATTCACAAATGCATAAAATTTGTGAAGAATATAAATCACCAATTTTTTTGTGTGTAAAACAGGTCCTCCCCCACACACAATTACTGAAAATTTGCCCTGAATCATAAAATAAAATTTCAATAAGACTAAGACATTATTTAATTAGAAAAAAGCTTTTAATTGCTTTTATCGGTAAGATATATTATGGACACTAATGTCTTAAAAAAAACAAATATTTCTTTGATGAATAATGAATTTTTACAAGAATTGTTTTCACATTTTAAAAATTTTAATTAGAATATTTTATAGTTTTAAATCTTAAAATTCTGTATTAATTCGTAGCGGTTAGATGATATCGTAAATTTATATTTACTCATTATAAATAGAAAAGCTTACTGCAAATCAGCGAGCCCCATATTTTAAAAAACAATTTTGAATTTTTGTGTGTGTGCGCATAAATTTGCCGATTTTTGTAAATACGGACGACCTTACACGACAATATCAGAAAATAATTGATAAAGTTTTAAATCTTAGGTGATAATATTATTAAGTAAAAACTATCCTTACTAATCATAAACGGAAAAGTTTAAAACCGTTCAGCGAGGCCCAGTATTTTAAAAAGAATTTTGAATTTTTTATTCGGTCTGTATAAAAGTGACACTTTTTTGTCAATATGGACAATCATCAGAAAATAAGAGCAGTAAATGTAGTAAATTTAAAATTTATAATTTTATCATTTATTTTAATTTTAGAACATTTCTTTTACAAACGTCTTCATAAGGCTATAATGCCTAAGTACCTAAAATTCAATAAAACATTAGATTACGGATAATATTTTCGTAAATTTTTAAGATAACTCATTTGATGGATATCTTAATGAGTGACTTCAACTAGGATGGTTCAGAGGAGATTGTGATATATTCTGTCTTACATTGCAATAGAGGCCGACCTGGTTCGCTGCTTGCTTGAGTGATTGCAGCAAGGTTTCTGCGTCCTTGATACATTATAGAAATTAATTCAAGATCATCGGAAAAGTCAAGGTCAATCAGTTCTTGTGGAGGTTACCGACTACTCTGGCGAGATTTCAAAAAGAGCCCTTTTTCCTCCATGTTCCTCCAGCAATACAACTGTCAACACCTAATAAAAAACATCTACTTTAGTGTTGAAAAATGCATTTCTTAGGTATTTTAAACTAAAAGTAGTAATATTTGTTATAAATCAGATTAATTAAACGTTAAATCAGCAAATATCTCAAATAATATATATATATATATATATATATATATATATATATATATATATATATATATATATATTAATTCACAAAAAGTGAAACCCAAATGACCACATTCAGATGGCCATTTCGTCATCTGAAAAAACTCCATAGAACTTGTTAATGCAAATACATTTGTTAAACAATTCCCTATATAGTAGTTTTAGTTTATTTTATTTGCTTGAAATTAAAACTAATTTAAAAACTTCAAAAAAGATTTATCATTGTAAAACATTAAAACTTAGTTACCGTGTTCTTTTGGAGCTAACTATAATATATATAATATATATAATAATAATGGACTCTCCCGGTTTCCACGTATGAGGATCTGACAGCTTATTGATTCAGTTATGAAAGTTTGTACGATAATTTTAAGTGGCATTTAAGACCCGCTAGTGATTTACAAAGGAGGCCACATATGGAGCAGGTGTGAG